ATGGAGAGGATTATAAAACACTTTCTAAACATGAATTTTAAACATTGTATCAACATGAATTTGAACATCACAAAGATTGCCTTACAAATCAGATTGAATCCCGTAACATTTACACGAAGGCAGCTTACCATGGACACTTTTTTGACAATTTTTACTGACTTTGCCAAAGCATTTAACACAGTAGCACACATTCGACTCTTCCACAAAGTTTAGGACTATGGCAATCGAGGCCAGCTATTACACTAAATCTCTGCTTGGCTAACTGAAAGAAAACAACGAGTAGTGATTAGCAAACAAACGCTTGACTGGAAAAAAGTGATAAATAGAGTCGCTGAAGGATCAGTTCTTGGAGTACTGCTGTTTGTGTTCTTTGCCAATGACAATCCAGACTGCATTAGTAACTAAACCAAAATGTACACCGATGATAGCAAAATTATAGGGTTTATAAATATCAATCAATCCTCCACAGATTATGAAAAACTGTAAGCGGAAATTGATAGTGCTGTAAATTGGTCATACAACTGGCTTATGTACTTCAAGTAGTACATAACGTCTAGAAGGTTAAAGTAATGTAGGTTTTCGCAAAAACAAATCAATACATATTTAAACCATTGTTAACATTAAAGATAATTGATGCAATCTGTATCCTTTGTGCATTGAGCGTGACCTTGGAATACTAATACTCAACAACCTTAACCTAGTGCGCTTTCCTTCATCAATAATAAGCTTTCTATGTAGAATTTTTATTGATTACTGTAACAAACTAAATAAAATCATACTTTTCTATTTTAGTGCCGTTTGTTGTTCCTTCTTCAAAAACATACTTGGTTCCTTTTTAAAAATGAAAATTTTACTGATCGACAGTATACAGTTGATGGTTTTTCGTTTCTCCATCGGACAATTTTTTTATTATTATAAAGTTCACTGAGTGTAATGGTGAGTGTAATTCTAATGGTATTATGCAAGTAATATTTTTTTTATTTGTTTGACATTGTTCATTATTTTCATTTTTATTTACCTGTTTGTGAACGCTCTGTCATGTAGCACCATCAAATTTAGCCTCGCATCTGTTCGTCAGTTTAATTTGTCCCTTTAACATTGTGATTAGCTCCGGAGCTTGTTCATTACTCAACCTTTCAAGAGGGTCTTTTTGGAGGTCTTTAGTACTGAGTAGTAATTAACATGAATGTTCTTGAGATAGTATTTAGCTTTGAAGATCCTATATGATTATATAAAGGATTTATGGCAGCTTTTATTTCAGCGCCATTTTTTATAAGCTGGTATGTTGATGCTTATATATCACCATTAATAATTAGTGCTAAAACTTCATCAGGCAAATACTTCTAGGCAGCTTTGATGGGATTTTTTTCAAAATTTCAGCAATTTTTTTGACTCGTACATCTCATTTTTAACTTTTTTTGACTCGTACATCTCATTTTTAAACTCATTTTTAAGTCGCAGTTTTCTTTCATGATGTAATCCGGGACTAATTAAAATAAATAAATTGTACTAATTAAACTGTTAATAACATCGTTAAGTTTTCTTATTTTTGTTCTGTTACATACATTATCAGAAAATCAACATGGTTTACTTCCTTCATTAACTGATGATGTAGCATTTAATGTACAGTAGGTATATTGAAAATCTTGAACTAGTCATAAATATACACTTTGAATTTTAAAGTTACTTTTTCCTACAGCTATGGTGTCGTTTACAATTTTGTCACATAATTTCAATGAATAAACTTTTAAAATTTACGTTTGATTAGCACTATTTCAATTCAAACTTCACTCAAGTTCTTTTATTTTATCTTAGATCTCCTTAAAAAAAAAACTCATAAACGTAGAATTATAAAATAACCTACCACGTAAAAAATATTTAATAATTTTAATTTTTAAAGAACTTTAGAAATGCTCTCAAATTTTAGTTTTCTACAATCTAAATATGAAACGTATTTTATGGCTATAGATCTTTTACAACAATTAATGCAACTAATAATAAAGAATGCTGATATTCAAAAAAAAAATGATTTGCACGCTAGAATGTATCTTACATGTGCACACTAGAACGTACAATGTGTGTATGATAATGAGTGTTACATTTACAATAAACAAAACTCAGTTTTTTAATATTAAGTTTTTATTAACATTTAAGAAACAACAATGAGTAAACATGGGTTTCTATTATAAAATGTCTTAACGAAAGTAAATAATCTGGATGCTCAAGTTTAATCTGCAAGACGCAATCAAAAACTGCAAGATGCAATCAAAAACTGCAAGATGCAATCAAAAACTGCAAGATGCAATCAAAAACTACAAGTTACAAATGTTTCATATTAGATTTCTTTGAACTATTTTCTACAGTGTATCTTTGATACCAATAGTCATGCTTCCAAGTGTTCGCAGTTTACCACAAACTTCAATTGAGTCTCTTTCACACCAAAGACAAGCTTTTTTACCTGCATGGCTTGATATTCTAAAAACTGAATTAACACATTTCAAATCAAAAGCTACTGAAAACTTAACATCTTGTAAATTGAGTTTCTCTAAAATTATTCTTAATTTAATTGCACATCTTCAACTATGGAGAGGATTTGACATCGTTGTACACCATTATTTAAGTATAAATTTGAAGTAGTATTTTCATTAACATCAAAAACATTTACAATGACCTTCATGAAACCACCTCCTCCATCCATAGAAATACGAACAAATGCTGACTGGGGATCAAGACAACGTTGAATAATTAAATCAAGAATAAAACTAGAGGTGTCTTGAACAAAAACAACGTCTTTTATAGAAGTGCCACCAGCACTATCAAAGAAGTTGACCTGAAAAATAACAATAAATAATTTTCAATACTCATTTTTAAAGAGATGTTCGTTTTTTACATTTTAATACATATATTTTTAATTTCAAATGTAAAATAGATCACTTGCCAGAAACTTTCAGACCTATGTTTTTAAATGATTTCAAATCAGTATAATATTTTCAGTCATAATCAATCATAAAAATGGGTGGGTGTAAAACTACCCTAACACCCTATTTTGCCCCATTTTGGACCTTTAGCACTTGGTTTAGATTTTAAAAACAACTTTTACAATTATTATAAAATAAATATGATTAAATAAAAAAAGTTTAGTTTAATTGAAACGACATAAAACCTGGCGATGTCTCTGCTCCACTGTGACCCACGTGACAACTACTCGCACCGACCCTTTGTATAGTCACAGAATTGGGAGCTTAATATCTATCTTTTTTTAAATTTATATTGAAAAACTAACAAATACAAGATAATTTTTATTAATAAATTATTAAATTTAAGGTGAAAGATGAAAGATGTAAAGTCAAAGATGAAAAGTGAAAGTTAAAAAAAGATTTCTTAATACTCCTAATCTTCGTTCTCGCCTCACATATGATGGATTGGTTGACGTTCCAAAATCACCAGAGATTCGCTCACTGATTAAAATTTAAATGTAACTAGTTAACCATGATTGCCTAAAACTGTTCAAAATCAAGAAGAATTTACTAACGAGGGCAAAACTTTTTCCAGTTCCGTTATTTCATTTTTTTTATCATATCTAAATATGAATATATGAATCCTAAATAAAATATATATGAATTCTAAAAAAATATATGAATTCTAAAAAAAATATATGAATTCTAAAAAAAAATTTGAAAGTTATTATTTTTCTTAAAAAAACTACGTTCTAAAAATTATTTTTAAATTGGGCGCCGTCTGATTTTTCCTACTCTGATTTTATGTACTTTGTCTATGATTATGTTTGTAATTATGTCTGTGAGGTTCTAAAAGCTTACATCGAGTCAAAAAATATAGGTAACAATACTGTTTTAGCAGTTGCTGAATTTCATTACGCTTTTTTTCTAGTCCTCGAGGCCTAGAACTGCCAGGGGAAGGGATATCATATATAAAAGATGGCTTTGACTAGACCTATAATCTCTAACAATGTTAGAGATCTATAATCTAACAATGTTAGTAAGAATAATTATTTTGTTTAAGGTTTGGCTTTGATAAACTTCTGTAAGTAAGTTAGGTTTATACTATTAAATGCTTCAAAAAGTTACATTTTTTATGTGTTCAAGATATAACTCAGTCAAAAATTTGTAGAACAATTTTGTAACTTTCGATTTCGGTTTCTCGATAATTACTTTATTTAAATAAAAAAAAAACTGATATTTGGAAGTCCCTGCACCACTCTGCCGCAACAACGTTGCAATAAACTTAACAAACTTTAAAGCACGTGGATATAAACTAACGAATTATCGCGATAGTGAAATCGCAGCAGTTTCAAAACATTCGTTTTATAAATTAAAACATTCGTTTTAAAGGAACTCCTATATTACATGTTTTTTTTATGGGCAAAGTCTCATTAATTTCACTAAATAAGTTAAAATTAAACTTACATACTTTAATAATTTAAATCTTATGTATTTAAAAAATGTTTTACAATATAATTGCTTTTCTAATAGTGAAAAAATAATATCCAGTAGCGTTTGTTTACAAAAGATTTATTGTATTGATTTTTGTTGTCGTTAAATAAGAAATGAATAAAATTTATATATAGCTGTGAATTGATCATTATGGTATTTTATCATTTAGATTCTATTAAGTAGAGTTCAGAAAAATAGAACTATAGTTAAAAACGTAAGGTTACGTCAATTGATTGTTCACTTTAAATGATGCTTTAAGAGTTAAAAGGGGAAAAAAAATGTGCATTTGACTCCACTTTAAACTTCTATAATTTCCAAGTATAGTTCAATACAATATACGATATATATTCAAAGAGTTGATTTCTCAAATTTTTTTAAAATTTTATAAAATTTATTAAGAAAAACAACAAAATAAGTTATTATTGACATTATACATACACATTAATAATGTGTAATTATTATTTCTGTTATTAAACAGACATTAAAAAGTATGTATTTAAAAATATTATATATTTGTTAGAAATTTTTTGATGACATTACTTTAAAAAC